GCGAATAATTGCGCCACGATTCCAAGCGTTCCTCCTCCGATTGATCGATCGAAACCCCGAGGAAATTTCGGGGGCACGAGTCAAGTTGGAAAGCCGAGTCTGGCCGAGCGTTTTACGGGCGGAGAATTAAATCGATCAGTGGTGAGCAGTTTACTCGCCGATGATTAATATTCGACAGACGTCCGAGAAATTTCCGATTCATCGTTTTATTATCCATCTTACGCGGCGGTTTTCTCGTTTTGAAGGAATTTTCAAGGGAATTTTCGAAGGCTTGTGTTAATCAGGGCTTGATGAATATGTATATACATGTGTTACATATTTCATGGTAATGGTATTCTCATTTTGGTATTCTAGAAGCTTCAAGAAATCCAAAAGGAAACGAATATTGAAGTAATAATTATAATCACACGATTGAACACACAGTGCATAGATCGTGCTCTTTTAAATTAATGTGTAAACGAGGAAAGATGGTTCCAATGTAGAAAATTCATGATTTTTCGAGTAATAATAATTATGTTTCACGTGAAAAGATAAAAAAAGAGGGGGAAATTGTTTCAGAAATTATTAATTGAAATATCTAATCCCATCTGCTCCCTCCCCTCAAAGATATATAACTCTCATTACCATTTTTCTAAAACTTTTTTACAAACCTTTATTAATGCCGTGGAGATTAAAACCCTTGAAAGCTTAAAGTAAAAACTACCTAAACGAGTTCACGGCGAAAAGGGGAAAAGTCGTCGAGTCGAAAGGTGAAAAGTATTATAAAATTACCCGCCACGAGTCAAAAGGTCAGAGAAACAAAAGATGAATGTATTATTCTAAAAAAAAAAAAAAAAAATTCAAAACGCATTGAATATAACTTCAAAAGTCAAAGATCATCGTAGAAAAAAAAAAAGCTCAACTATGTATATATAACTTGAAGCAACGATGGGTAAAATTTAATAATTGAAGTTACTTCGATAATTGTTCAAATAACTGTAGCCAAATTTATATGAAAAATTATATCAACTATATAATAATTACGAATAAATATTGTTCGAGAATTTCAATAAACACTCATTCAAACTAACCTTATTCGAAATTTTTAACCAACTCTGAAGCGACAACTCCGCTCAAGTTCCACCTCGTTCAACTCTCCTCTATTCACGAGAAAATAACGCGTATATTTTTAAACCGACAATTCTTTTCTTCTGGCAATAATGTAACAAACAGTCTGTCAAATCACAAGGCTGTTTAGCATACAATCAACAATCAACAATGTACAGGTAACAAGGTGAATTTTCACGCGCGTTAACCGCACCATTCCGGCTCGTTCCGTTACTCACGCGAACAGCTCGCGAGCGGCACGCACGTCGACCAATACGTTAATCGTATGCACATGAACCGAGCGTGTTTCAATTAAATTGCACGTTTCATTGGCAACGCTCTCTCTCTCTCTTTCTCTCTCTTGCGAACGTCGGTGTAACGCAAATGTCGTACGCAGCTGCGACACGCGCTGCTTATAACTAACGTTACACGAGGTACCGTAAGATCTTTCCACAGCTTGACGAACTCGAGACGCGTGGAAAATTGGATTGGCGAGAAAATCTTGTCGATTCGCTTTGAAATCTAATTTATACCGAAAAAGATGGGTTTAAGGTTCAAGATCGAAAGTGATCCCTAAGATAACTTTTTTTTTTTAGTTTCGAAGAATGGCATCATTCGATCGAGATTAACGAGAAAATTCAATTTAAAGATCTAATTTGTCTTGGTTATCTATACATCTCGCTATCGGTTGATGGTGAAATCAATGGAAAGAAGTTAAGTTCGATATCTATTGATATAGGATAAATTTTTTTGAAGATGCAGCGAAACACGAAAAAGATTAAAGAATGGTTTAAAAAATCGTAGCGATCTTCTAAACTTTCTTTCAAAAATCTGTTTACGATATAATAAATAAATTGAAGAGCGAAATAGCGAAAAGATAAGAAATGTTTATTTTCGGAAAACTGGAATACTCGAAATGTAATACTCCATTCTGTAATTGGACAAAGTATCGGCACTCTCGATTTTCATCGCATCTTGGTCCACCGACAAAACCGCTAAATCAGAGGCCGAATCCACTCGATGTCGGTCGATCGATCAAACGGAGCAGAGAAGCGTGGTTGAGCAACGAAACTTCACTCATCAACAGAGGGGAGGCAAACTTGGAGCCAAAGCACGGCAAGTAAACGGCCCACTTTCGCCACGATGGGGATGCTCTCTGTTCCCTAATTAACAGGCGAGCCTAATTATAGAATTACAGACAACCGATTCGACGTCGGTTGCCAATAGGCGGAAATTGGGAATCAACCAGATTCATCGAACGCCGAGAATCACCTTGAGAATCGTGGACAAAGGCGTTCGAGGGTGACGGTGTAGCAGCCTTGACCCAAAACGACCCTGACGTCTCTCCCTCCCAGCCGGCTTAATGGTTATTTCGTTCGGGAACTTTGTCGCCGAAAACAGGCAGAATCCCTTGTCTTCGATCAAACGAGAAATCCCGGTAAATTGTTACCGCTTCCGTCTCTGTTATACAATTTCGTTTCACGACTATGGAACTTGGCCGCCTTTCGAGTCTCGATACCCGACAAAATGTACTGTTTATTACATTGAAACAGATTCCATATTATTGGCCGAGCGTGAAACACGTAATTTCAGATTTTTATCGCGAAAAAATGATGTAACAGTCACTTGTTTTTAGATCTATAATACCAAAAATATCTACGTTATTCGATGTTAAAATGATATAATAATTGTCATACGTTTGCAACGATTATCTCGCTTACTTAATTTTATGAATCCTCGAATAAAAATTGTAAAATTTATTATTGTTTCCTTCGTCAAACGAGCAAACTGTTACATCACGAAAATAGAAAAAGAAAAGACATCCTCAACTTCAAACGCAATCCCCAAGGATCGTAGTCTTATGCCTCTTCAAGAATCACACCTCTCCCCTCTCCCCATCATTAAGATTTAAATCTCCGTGCAAAGCGAAACGTTGTGTACAGGATGTGCAACATTTTCGCCGGGCTGGGGCAAATGTCAAAGTTGAGTATACACACACACACGCGCGCATACATGTTCTCCGCTGATCAATATTGCTCGATGTGTTGGTTCGGGTGGCAGTGGCGCGCTTTGAGACGCAATTGTCCTCCACGCTGTGCCGACAAGCGGAATGGACGTCGTTTGACCTTCGACGAGGTATCTTCCGCGGGATTTTCTCAGCCGCAACGATTCCCCGCCACGCCCAGCCACGCGTAGGCTGGAACCCGGCCGCCGAAAGGGTAAAGGGCGCAGTGCACCCTGGAATCCCACCAGGAAATCAATTACCAGGCTTTAAATCCCACGGAAGGCGACCGGCTTTCTATCGATCCTCGCCTCCCACGGAAATATCCGCCACCGTTTTGCATCTGTTTATGAAAATCTCGTTACGGTTCCATTATCGAGTATCGAGCTAGCGGCTTTTCCATCACGCTTCACGGTGAAACGGGGTTTAAACGTGACTCGCGAAACGCGGTGGATTTCAATAACGGGGGCTGACTCTTGCCTCGAGAGAAAATTTAGCGATTGTTTCGATAGTTTGGTCCGGTGGAATGAACATTAAGCGGTTTTTAAAGAGAGATTATAAAGTTCTTTTGAGAGGATTTTAACGTATGATGTACGATTCAAGTTATTGAATTCGATTAATTGAATATGCGGACGTACGAAGTCGTAAAACGTTATATAGATTTTCAAACTGCCTCTCTTCGTCATTAAAATTTCCATGAAATTGCCTTGCGTAATGATTCTTCCATAAAAAAATATTACCATTGTTCATCGTCACGACATCGTGCACACCATCGACGCACGGCCAAGTCGCCGTTTCCGCGAAGCGGATCCACGTCTGATACACGTGACCCGTTCGTGAATCGTTATCCAACCCATCCAGTTATCCGCAAAGCCTGTAGACCGCGAAAGGGTCAACGCATTCCGATCCCGCGGAAACGTTTGTATCGTTACAAAGAAAACGCGCGCGCGAGCGAGCGAGCGAACGAACGAACGAACGA